AATAATGTAGTTATGTCATTTAAACTATTAAAATATAATCTTATATTATTTAATAATTGACTTTTTTTTAGACTTATAATATTGTATATATTAAATAATTTAATAACATAATTTATGTTATATCATTAGTTTTAAATTTTTTGCCCCAAAATTTTTCCTTACTCTCTATCATTACTCCTAATTAATACACCTTTCTTACTTTTTTTAATTGTCTTAATCTTTTTTTTAGTTGTCTTAATCTCTTAAATTTATATAGATTAATTTAATAATTTTATATAATAAATAAATAACAATTAAATTTTTTATTTAAATAAAATTACTCCTAATTAATACACCTTTCTTACTTTTTTTAGTTGTCTTAATCTCTTAAGTTTATATAGATTAATTTAATAATTTTATATAATAAATAAATAACAATTAAATTTTTTATTTAAATAAAAATACTCAACAAAATTTATGAATAAAAAGAAAAAAATTAATTATCATTTATTTATTAAAAAATTACTTATACACACTTATTTCAATATAATTTTTGACATACTTTCGATTTAATTATTTAAAATATGGTATAAATATAATCAATTCAGTCAATTTATGTATTCTATGTATATAATTGTATCTTCAAATTTATTTGTCTTTAATTTTAAACCAAGAAATAATAATTTTTAATAAGTGTATTATGTAATGTATTAAACTGAAATATATACTAATTATTGTTCTTATTTATTACTCTCTCAATTCATTTTTAATAGACTTCACTTGACTTTTTAAACATGAATTTCAAATAAAAATTTAATATATTGTAAATGATAATTGAAATTTTTTTGATTAAATAAAAATACTTAATAAGAACTTCATATAGGAAAAAAAATTTCAATTATTAATTCATATAAGTTGTTAAATTTTCATTTAAAATTCATATCTAAAATAGTTAAAAAGTTAAATTATATTTATTAAAAATAAACAAAGAGAATATATAAAATTATTTTGTCAAATTTTATTTAAAAGTCAAACTAAGATAAGTAAATTTGACTAGAGAGAGCAATTCTTGGCATAGTTTATATTTTATAAAATTAATGGTTAAATTTAGCATGTTATTCATTTAGAGTTACACATCAAATTTCAAAGTAAATTAATTTCTGTTTTCTTTTATTTTTTATAAGAAAATAAATAGATTAATGAAAATATAAACGTACTCTAAACCCTTACACTTGAGTAAAAAATGTAAGTCTTAACTCAAAATAACAAGGAAGGGGATATTTAGTGCTCACATTAACTTGCATAATTGAGGGAGTAGGCACCCATCATTATAGTTAAATGTAACCATACGAAAGAAAAAAACTACATTTTTTATTATATAGCTGAGTGAATAGGTAGCAAAGGGATATTATTTTTGTAAACATACAAATGAACAAAACGATATTTGTTATTATATTTAACAGTATAAAATTGTATGTTATCATAAAATAGATAAATACATTCAATTAATTTTAAATTTAGTGTGCATCATATATATTAATAGAACATTAAATCTAATAATTAATTTAGAGAAATACAAATTAATACTAAGAATTATTGACTAATGTAAGATGTGCACAACTTATTGTTAATCT